GATTGATATACCCAAAAGGGCTTCTAGAACTTGCCCAGTGAAATAGGCCTCTTACAAAGCCTTTGCAGAGTATAGGACCTTAGGTAGAATCCTGAGTTCCATCCAGAATCTTCTGAAGTGGGACATTCCCACTAGAAATGACAAGCAGATCATCCTGTAACAGCTAGAGCAACAGAAGATACATCTTCAAAGAAAGATCATCAGGAAAAATACAAAACAAAATGTCAGCATGACTGGCTACAACAAGAATAAGCAAGCTGTTTGCCAGGAAGCCATCAATGGACGCAATCAAGTTCCTTCAGAACAAACCCCCTCTAAGACTGAAACTCAAAGGAAACACATGGCATAGCAGGCATGTAAGCTTGCTGGTGACTACATTGGTCTATTGGTGAGTGGAAGAGGGGAAAAGGCAGCAATGAAGAAATGTTCTGATTTAAACCACAGTCCATTGACTTCCGTTGACCTGGAGATGAGAGACAAGAGGAAGGGCTGCTTGGTCCAAAGTGTGGTGAGACCTGGGGACACCTGAGCCCACGGACAAGGACATAGTCACAGAGGACTGAAGCTGAGAGTGAAGCATACAGCTGATATGAAGTGAGGGGAGATGTACAAGAACACCCAAACTTGCAGACAGTACCCATTTGACCTAGCCTTGATAGCTTAGTAATCAGAACTCGACTAGAGAATTACCAATTACCAAAACAATTTTCTTTTTGATAAAGGAAACAAGGGTAAATTGCTACAATTTGATTAACCTGACCTATACTCATGGAGGTAGTAACTCCACATGCCAACAGAGAGGGAAGGAGTCTTCACATCAAATATCAATGCTATCCCCTCTGTACACAGGGTTGACAGGGATGGAAACTTAGATATTGGCTACCTAAAATGAGGGGGCAATAAAGGCACTAAGTGACTGGCTTACAAGGTTTCATGAGGGGGTATAGTTTAAGACCACCATTCGTCTGTCAGTATGTCGTACTGTGGTAGCTTGTGAGTTGCTGTGATTCTGAAAGCTATGCCACCAGTATTTTAAAT